ATACTTATTTGGGTCTTTGACAAAAGAACTTTGTGTAAAAGGAGGCTCACCCAAGAATGTGAACTGAGGTCTTGGTTCCCTTGTCTCTGAACTATCTGTGACTTCGCTGTTATCATCTCTGGTGAGAGTTGTTGTGCCGAAAGCAGGTTGGATTGAAGTAGTTGGAGCTGCTGTGAGTGTTGTCAATCCATTAGAACTTGAGGGTTTGGTTGTACTTGCAGTAACTCCAAAGCTAAAGCCACTAATAAAAAAAGTACACATTAGAGGAAGACCCCTTAACAAATTTAAAGAACAGCATGAAACTTGAAGTTTTTTAGTTTGACATGTTACACTTAAAACACAATATCAGCAACCTCAAAACATGAGTCTGAAAAGCAGAAACGAAATAAAACGTTGTGATAGAGCCAGGTTCAGGTGTGTGTGTCACAAGTTAATCTGGCTGTAGGCTATGGCACTTGGCCACAGGTGGCGCTAGTTGGCTCCATTTGATTGCACAAGAAGGTAAAGTGCACGCTTTAGGTGCGGAGGGAATTGCTCAGAGTAATAAAACGTATATAAAACGAATATAATGAAGACTAGACTCTCTGGATCGTTGACTCTTGCTGTCTTGTGAACATTTGTTTGTTTGTTTTCGACAAACCAGGTAAGTTTACCTGGTTTTGACATAACACCAGGAAAACTTTGAAGTTTTAAATATTTTTTGTTGAATTTCTAACATTTGTTTGTGCAGCCAGGTCTTTTCCCTTCCTGTTATTTGACGGTATATCACACTGACTGCTATGGGCCACAGTGACAGCACTACAGCTGTCATTCATCTTTGCAAGAGTGAATCTTGTCATATTAACTATCAAACTTTGTAATACTAAAAGTTGCGAACTTACCTGTCTTTTTTTTTTTTAACAGACGAGAACATAACTCCTGTGTGTAGATGTTACCAGCAGCTGCAGCTCAGGACACACCGCAAATGAAAGAGCCACTGCCTTTTCCGTAGAAAAGAAAACGAAACTTAAACTGTCACACAAACACCAGTAATGCGAATCTGAGTGTAACACGCTCGTAGGCGGGGTTTGTTGCGTTGTGGAGTTGGATTGGTACTAATGAAGTTAAAGCTGCAGAAGCAGATGCGCAAGACACAGCAAACAAACGAAATCGCAAGAAGCAAGAAAAGAAGTAGCTAGCTGGCCAAATCTGTCTAGCAACCTAGCTACATTTTCCAAGGCTAAAACAGGCTGTTGTTCCTGCATCATCATAATAAAAAGGATCAAACCAACATCAACAAACTTCAAGTGACCTAATTTAGCTAATAGCAAACACAATAATCTATTTATTATACTGTTTAAATGAATAAATAAAACAGTTAAAATGCTTACAACTTGCTCCAGAAGTGAGTTTTACATAAACAAGAGCACTTTTGTTCTATTTCCCCCACCTTGCAAATCTATGACATCAACAAAACATGATTGGTCCACTGACCAACAGCAAACACATTGTTGTGCACTCTCTCAGTCTGGTACTTTTACTGGCACAGACACACACACACTGTAAGTGCAAAAATAATATCAGATAGCAACAATCAGTAATATATTGAAGCTTTTGAGCAACGTGGACAGTAACTGCAGTCAGAGCTTTGGAAACTTTTAGACCTACGTGTATTTAATCTCATGCTACAAACTCACACCGTCTTCCTCATCTACGTTTCCCAAAGTAATGTAAAGACAACAGTAAGCTGGTAAGCAGCAAAAGAGAGAAAATAACTACAGGTTGTTTCCAGTGGACTTATATATAGCCTACCATAAACGCATAGTATAATATGACTGCATACTTTCAATATATAAGCGGTAATAGTCTTTAAGTCCTTTACAAAAACTATTAGGACTGTTATCACTAATTGGTAAAATTACAAAATGCTGGAATATTGTAGGCTTATAGTTTTTTTTTTATTTATTATTTATATACAAATCTACATGGCCCTGTGTAAAGTGATCCCCCATATAGCATAAATTAAATGTGGTTTTTGAGTTCAATTTCTTGCACACTTGGGTTCTGCAGGAGGACAATGATCCAAAACGCACCAGCAAGTCCAGCTCTGAATGGCTTTAAAAAAAACGTCTTCATTCAGGTCAGGACTTTGACTAAGTCCTGAACTGAATCTGACTGAGATGCTGTGTCACGAACTTAAAAAGGCGATTCCTGCTCGAAACCCTCCAATGTGGCTGAATTACAACAATTCTGCATAAACGAGTCACAAGGCCATGTAGGTTTGGGTCTTGTTTCCCCTTAATAATAAACACCTTCATTTAGAAACTGCATTTTGTGTTTATTTGTGCCATCTTTGTTTAATATTTAAGTTTGTTTGATGATCTGAAACATTTAAGTGTGACGAACATACAAAAACAAAGGAAATCAGGAAGGAGGCAAACACTTTTTCACATCACTGTAGACACACAACACTATTTTTGCTTTTTCTGTCACACACACACACACACACACACACACACACACACACACACACACACACACA